CGTCCCCTTCTAAGGTTTAATGCTGAGACACACCTAATATTATAAGCATTCTGACCAGTGGCGGTTCTAGACCAAATGTACCAGGGGGCCGGGAGGGGGCCAGCATGTTTTCATGGGGGCCCAGAAAAGCATGAAACAAAAAACAGGGGATTCAGATATATTAAGACAGCTGCATGAAATGAAATTTCCATTCAATTAGGTTTAGGTCTTCCAATTGAAAATATTTATTTTTGGCTTAAAAATGTTCATTTGGATTATCGTTAAAATCAAAATAGAATCTCTTAGCATAGCAAAAAAGCAACTCAAAAATTGTAGCAATATAAATATCTAAAAGATCAAATAAAGCTATTATTTGGAATATTAGGTCAATATACTTTTATAATTTAGGAATTTTGCATATTTTTTTTATTTTCAAGTTAAAATTACATTTTTCTATAAAATTAGACTTAGAACTGAAGAAAAGCTGATAAAGCAGAAAAAATTGGTTTTTAAAATTTGTTTTGAAAAAAACATTCAGCAGATGAAAACTTGGATCATATCTAAATACAACTTTTTAAATAATTAGTCAAATATAATTTTTTAAGAAAATAAAAAATGAAATAGATCCAAAGGATCTATCGTAACCATGTCTGTTCTAGTGCATAATATCAGTAGAATTTCTTTTAGTATTATGTCTCCGGTACGGGGGCCATATGAGGGCCAGGATATGATCTACAGGGGTACTGGCCCCCGTTGGCCCCTGTCTAGAACCGCCCATGCTTCTGATGGCGTTTTATCTATATATATTTTTTTTTTATTACATGTTGTATTAACCATATATGTAAAAGAAGTTTTATACCCCATCCTCCCGATTTCATCACGACTCTTACCGTTGCCATCTTCTTGCAGAGAAAGCACGTGTTCATCAGCTCTTCCCCTGCAGACGGCGACGGCAGCTTCTTCTTGGCCCTCACGCTGCCGAAGGCGATGGGGATGTGCAGGGGGGGCTGCAGGCCGGGGTCAAAGTCCATCCTGTACTCCTGCCTGAGCCAGCGGGCCGTCAGAGGAAGCCTGCTCCATGGCGCCACCCTCAGCATGTTGGAGACGACGCGCCAGTGGAACTGCAGGCTGCTCTCCTTCTTGGAACGCCGGGAGACGTGGGAAAGCCGTCTGGAGGAGTGGGGGTGCTGCCACGCCCACTCAAACTGACGGGGAAAGATGAGAGGTTTACTTTAACTCATCGCAGCCACAGATACTCTGTAGCCTGTGGGATTTTTTACTCATTTATAAGGTCAGTACATCTCTGAGGTACAAGTACAATAACCCAACTCAACTACTATATATTCTGTACGGAGCCCCTGAAGGGACATGGAGGGA